TTTTTATCTCTGACATTCAACATGAATCCACCAGAAGTACATGTAGCATCACAGTTACTCCTCCTCAGGACAGCAGCAGATTAACAACAGTTACAAAGTGACGACCTATACCGGGAAACTGATTTAAAATCATGATATCATGTTTCATTTCCAAATCCAATACAAACTTCCCTGAAATAGCCGGGATTCATGATGTGACCTCTTCCATATATTAACTTTGCACGTTAACAGTTACCCAACATAATATTACACAGTACATCAAATCATTTCATTAAGCAGATGCAACAAGACAGATTTGCAAAGGTTCCTGTGACTTTTGAAACTTTTCTCTTGTGACTATCAGACAGTTTGATTTTCCTGGTGAGATGCTTTGTGTGAGTTGAATATCTGAGTCCACTCTTCAAGCTCTGCCTTCACGGCACTGGCATCAGGTCGGTCTTCTGGTTTCTCAGACAGCAATGAGTTAATAATTTGCTTCTGTTTACAAACAAGAAAAAATACAGTATAGGTGTAATGTCTTGTGCAATAAAACCTCTGATAAATAATAAATATATTAAAAAATCTATATGTTGTGTCCAGACAACTCAGCAATCAAAGAGGACCTTTTATAACTGAGTAAACCACTTAATGTACGTTTTATCACTATTCTGCTGATGACCATCCTGTGAAAATTTAAGCACAGTATGAATATGGTAATTTACCTCTTTGGTAAAAGTCACTGAAAACTCTTCAGGGAACCTCTGCCTTCTGACGTCAGGCCAAATCTGGTGTTAATGAAGTGATTAAAGAACAAAGAGGACGTTAGTTTATACAATAATTGTTCCAATTACACTTGTTTGAATAATGAAAATATTTAAAACACACAAAAAAGCTTTGTCAGAAGAAACCAGCTACAGATGCCTAGTAATTGGTATATAATAACTCCATGCATATGCACAATGGTTAAAATGACTGCAGTGAATCTCACCTTTGCTCTTTCTGAGCCAGTAGAAAGTTTCCAAAGGAGTTCAAAGAATATCAGCCCCAAAGCAAACATGTCCACTTTTCTGTCGTACTTCCTCTCACTCCTCTGTGATAGACAAACAGACAAAGGACAAATGTATCTGATGTCATATTTTTCTCAATCATTGTGATAAATGTTACAGTTATGCTTGAATTCAACAAATCTTTTTGTCTTTCAGTTTTATTGCTTAAATTTGAGGGTCAAATAAAATTCTGCGGGAACAGAAGCTGATGATTTTACAGCTCTCACCACTAAAGAGAGGTGAGACTGAGCTTTGTTAAGTGTGAAAGGCTCACATGTAGTACTTTTATTTTAAACCATTTATAAAATCCTATTTATTAACCAATGAAACACAAGAAGTAAACATTATTGTCAGTATAGATCATCTCACTTGTTCAGGAGCCATGTAAGAAGGAGTTCCTTTGCACACTGTTCTCTCTTCATCATCATCATCACTGGTGACCAGACCAAAGTCCCCAATCTTCACTTCTCCTTCCACTCCAAACATGATGTTTGCAGGCTTTGCATTCAAAAGGAAAACATGAGGTATGTTTGAGCAAAATGATCATAAAGGTATATTTATGTTTATTTATTTGATCATTTCTAGGGACCAAAAAATCAGCAATGATGTTGCACAATCTATTGTTTGATAGTTTTATGAATGCCCTAAAAGCAGATTTAAAAATAGTCAACAAAAGTCTGTTATGTGTCTCAGGGCGCCTAAAGGCCCTTGTCATAGTAAACCAGAGGACACATTAAGGGGTCACACCTTAATACCTTCTAGTACTTTCTAATTTCAGCAGAACAATTTTATTTTGTCTTGAAATTCGCTGCATTGTCTCACCTTAAGGTCTCTGTGGATGTGGTTCCTGGAGTGAATATACTCGACTCCACAAACTATTTCTTGAGCAATTCTCAGACTTTCTTCTCTTCGCTTCAAGTTTTGCACACTCTCTTTATTCTTCTCATCAATCCAGTCTCTCAGTGTGTTTTTGGCACATAACTCCATCTGAATATACAGGAACTTTGTCTCGGGGTTATCTGCAGTGCTAAAAATGTAAAGAAAAAAAGAAAAAAAAAAGGAAAAATTTATGTAAATATTTAACTTTAACCTTTTAACAAAAAGTTAATATATAACGGTAGGTCCACAGGACTCACTGTGAAGAAGCGTAACTGTCATAACTGTCTCTAAGGTCCCACTCGTATCCAGTATCCTGCATCCAGAACGTGTAATATCTAACAATGTTACGGTGGAAGAGGTCTGATAATGTTCTCACCTCTCGAAGAGATTTTCTGAAACACAATAAGAAAAGTGTCAGTACAGAAAGTGCACAAGTACCGAACATATAACACTGAATGCAGGAATCCTACTGTGGCATACTTAACTCTTTATAGCAGCCGATCTTCACAGCATATTCTATCTTCAACTGTTTATCTTTTACTTTGTAAACAGAACCAAAGGCCCCCTTACCAAGATGCTCCAAGGGTTCAAATTCTGAAGTAAACCTGTGGACAGCAACAACACATTTATGCAAAAAATGTAATGTAATGATCAAATACAAAAAGCTCTTATAAACTTCAGAAATCAAAATCCTAGATGGCAGCATGTCTGTGTGTGTGTTGACTGATTTAGATGTTTCTGAAAAGTACCAGTGATTTTGGCAGGTTTTTCTGCGCGGCACAGTTACTTGACACTTACCCTTGACTAATAATTAAAAATCCTGCATTGAACTGATAATTAGACTGTGGTCATTAGATTGCTGCTGAAGCTTAAAAGTTCTCCAAGTTGACCTCAAGCTATGTCAAGCTGTAGTTCCATAAGAAACAACTGTTTCCAATTCGGATGTTTCCTTCTAAAGGAAGGATAAATCCTCCTTTCTCATTCAAAAAAGGTGGACTTGCATAAATGACCACAGGGGTCTGTGCAACTGTGACTTTTTGGCCATGATGCCTCCTCACCTTCTGGAATTGGACTGGCAAAATGCCTGACGGGCCCAAAACCCAACACGAAAGAATACATAAATGACATTGCTCCTTTCCGTCCTGCGTTTGCTACTTTTATGGATCTGTAGTTAACACCATCACAAAGGCTAAGACTCCTTTTCAGTGCTCTTAAATTGTAATACTGTATGAAATGGATCATGTACAGCTAATGGGACTCAGACCATTGAGTCATTCAGCAGTAGACTTTTAGACCCACAGTGTAGGAATGAGTGCTACCGCAGGTCATTCTTACCAGCAGCTGTCAGACTCTATAACACAGTTTAACATCCTTTTGATTATCTTACTCATCAGCTTGTTTGTTCACTGCACATTTTATACATATCTCTCTACATTTTATACATATCTCCGTACAATTTTTTCTATATATATTTCTGTACATTATATACGATCTTCAGTTGATTATGTATATAGGACCACTTTGTGTCTTCCTTTTATATTTTATATTTCCCCCTGCTATAAAAGCTGTGTAACACCCAAATTTATCATCCGTGGGATAATAAAGGTCTATTCTATTACCTTTTCCCATACTCTTCTCCTCTGTGGACTTGACCCGTATGATTTGTGTCATGGTCCTTCAGGAGAATTTTACTTTTCTTTCATGATTTTATCATAGAAGGCAGGGAGAGGTACTGATTGGCCAATTTGTTTTATGAAAAACTGCAGATACTGATAACATCTGTGATTAGGCTAAGATTTACAGGTATCAGCTGAGCTCTGTTTTTTCTTCTTCTATTTGTTCTTTTGATGAAGTACTAATTATATACATAATATTGATTCTTACTGAGAGCAACGCCACTAGCTATTTGCTGATATGTTTTTTCCCTTTTCTTCAAATGTATTTTTCTTTGTAGATTCATAAAGTTTTGTATGAATAAAACAAGTTACAAACTGGTTTGAATGAGTGGTTATCTCAAATGGCCTTTGTTATGGATTCAAGTTAAGATTAGACTTTCATTTTCTTCTTTTCCTTTGTTTTGGTGGTTTCAAAACAAAAGCATTGAAAAAAATCAACTGGATTTTTTTTAAACGGCACTGACTTGAATTTAATTAATTTCCCTGCGTGATCTGTTAACTTGAAAAACAAAAAATAATAGCCAAGGCAGATCATTGTCTAATGGAGATTTAAAATAATATCAATAACCCTTTTAAAATTTGAAGGACTGGTCTAGACCTCACCCACATATAGACAAAGACTAACATCACATTTCTGGCAAGGCTGACATGTTTGGTTCCTTTAATAAGCATCAGATGTCCACAAAACCCTCAAACTTTTAGGTTCTAGGAAATCAAGAGGTCCAGCTAATTTGAAACTTTTCTTTTTTGGTACATAACAGGCAACATTGTGAAGCTATTTTTATTGATCTAAATGAGGTATTTGACACCGTTTATTATGAAATTTTAAAGTAAAGACTCAGTGCAGGGTTGTTAGAAAAAAACTGTTGACTGGTTTCAAAGTTATTTATCTTGCAACTATCAGTCTGTGAGGATAGAATAAATCACTTGCTACCTTCCTTAATGTAACAAAAGAACTGATGGAAGGTTCAAGTGCTACTGTTATTCATTTTATATATAAACAATCTGGGTTATAATATCACTACAGCAAGAACTGTACAGAGTTCAGTGCTCTGAGACTGAGTAAATATACAATACAATATAAATACTTAGGAATTACAATTGATGACTCTTTTACACCTCATATTCAGCAACTGGTGAAAACATTAAATTTGAAAAGCTGTTTTTACTTTAAATAATGTCCTATTAATCTTTTGAGGCAAGAAATAGACTTGTTGTTTTCACCTTTATGTTTGTTCTTGATTATGGTGATTTGATTTACAGTATATAGATGCATCCTCAGAGTGCTTGATTCTGTCTATCATGGAGCAGCGAGGGAGATTTAAGACCATAGTCTAAATTTTAGATTAGAGATTTAAACCTTTCTCTCAGCACATAATACAACAAAAACATGAGTTAAATTGGAATAGCAGTTTCTTAGTACTGTTTCTTTTTCCTTATTTAAAATACCGTGATACAGTTGGCATCTCGTTCTGGCCATTTCCCACGTTCTTGTCTTTGGCATCCTCCTTAAAGAATAAAAAGCATACACCGATTAAAAGGATAAAATTTGCTCTGATCAGCTGTATACTCTTTAACTAGGGCATACAACCACATCTAGTAATATCAGTAATTTTATCCCTCCAAGCTGGTCCTTTTAATTACTTTTAAAGAACAGATTGTCTGTTGGAACCTTTAATCAACTATATCTGATGAGACAAAGTAAAGATAAAAATATAAGCACCTTGCTTGACTGCTCCTGAAGAACAAACCAGGCCAGTCGCGCTGCACTTTGTTTGGCTTCTTTGATACTCTTCCCCTTCCCCACAGGATATTGCGTGTTGTTAATCCGTAATTTGTAGAAAAATCTGAGATGCAAAGAAGTTGAACAGTACATTAACAGTTTACTGAACATCAGTCATGAGCATCCAGTGTCTGCAGTGTGTATTCAGAGTCCAGTATGTCGGGCATACTCACTGACGTTTATCAGGTGTGCCACATATTTTCTCATCAACAAATGTATAGGAGCAGTTTTCTCTCTGACAGTAGTCATTGACAAGTCCTATGTAATTTGTCTCCACTGAGCTGGGGTCTTTAGAGTTCACGGTCAGGTTTTTTGTTGTAGTACTGTAAACAACAAGCAGTAAGAAACTTTACTATGATGCAGATGCCACAATTAAACAATACATCACCATTGTTAATTACTCACCACAGATCAAAAACATTCTCACTCCAGTCCTCACTTTGTTGACCTGATCCATCGCTGTGATTCTCATCTGCAGTCTTGAAAAATATAAAAAGTACAATTTTAATGTGGTTATATTAACATGTTTATGTTTTAGGATTATGATCAAGCTAGAATGGCATGGACTGAACTATAACTTACATCTGTAGTTTTGTTGCCATTTATTATGTCATATACAAGCTTGGCTGCTTCCTCCTTAGCTTCTCTTGCTGTTTTCCCAGAGACTGCTGGGTACTCCTTCTCACCAACCATGAAGCTACACCACCTAATGCCATAAAATAACATTTATTTAATCTATTTTACATGATCACAGAATAGCTATAATTGAGAAACAGTCAGGAGGCTTACGGGATAGCATTATTTGGTCCAGGTCTTGTTGTCTCCATAGGCTTTATAGTCAACCTGTTTCTCTGGCCATATTCATTGAGCCAGCATATGAAGTTGATATCTGTCTCAGCTGATGTAGAAGCTTCTGCTGCATTTTCTGTCTGTTAAGGTTAAAAAACAAACAAACACCATGGGTACATACACCACTTATTTTTCTCCAACATGCTAAAGTTATATAAACTTACCAAGTCCTGACATTTACCATCCAGCAGGCACCTCAGAGCATTTTCAGCTGCTTTAACCTTTGCATCTTTTTTGGTCTTCCCCACACCTTTGGGGTAGTCTTTACCATCTATGATCGCCTTCTGGCTAAATCTGTAGAGGAAATGACCTTTTAGGGTTAGGTTGCAAAAAATAACTTGAATTTTCTCCTTCCACTTTTAACCTCTGGGAGGCAATATTTCTTTATGATGAAACTTGAGATGTAAATTGCGTGTATATGCAATATATATATAGTAAGACATCCTATATATACAGCAACAGACAAGCAGGTGCAGTTTTAAAACGGGTTTCCAGTGCTTTGCTGGGCTCTTTATAATAACATGACTATTCAACTAGTTAGAAATAAAGATTTGGCAAAGCATAGCGCCATTATAGAGCCTTTGGGCCAAAGAGCTATCATTTCCTGTAATTAAAAGACAAATTAAAATTGATTTAAAATATAACTGCAAGGTAATAAAGGCTTACGACTACACCAGTCTGTATTTGCTGTCACCATCATTACTGGTGCATTTTCCCGATAAGATACATATAAGTCCTCTTCTTAAACTGTACTGATTAGCTTTGACTTACCGTGCTATCAAACACTCATCTCACCCAATACTTGTATTATCGTCGATATATTATAACGCTCAAAGCTCTCAGGTACTACAAATGTACTCACACTTTATTATGGTCTGGGCCGTCAGAGCCAAGGTACTCATACTTCAGCTTCAAGCGATTTCTCTGCGCATACTCGTTTAGTTCAGCTACGTAGTTTTTAGTTGCCATCATTAATGACTCGGCAAATGTAATAAAATCCCGGCGAGAGCACACAAAGCTCACAGTACTGCTCCCGTCCCCACTTCCATCTTCCTTCTCCGGGTATATCAGCGTATGTCCGTTGTGTGTTTCGATTCAGCTGACTTTAGGCGTCGGTAAGTTTCGGTTTCTTCGTCCTCCCCTACGTGGTAACAGAGCAGTCGAAACCAACTCCAAATATCTGTCGCACATTAGCGACGTTCTGTGTACGGAAATGCGCAACCCATTCAGCTGTCCTGCGGTGTGCAGAGAAAGCCTCTACATTTTTTTAAAGGACCCTCTCCAAGCTCGTTTCTTTCTTCAATAAGTCTTCGTGGGCCGTGTTGGTAATGCTGAAAGGTATATCTAATTTTAATAATAAACTAACACAAAGTCTGTAATTTATTTAAATGTAAATTTCCCAATCCCTTTCCAAAGTGAATATCTGTTTTTATGGTCTTATGCCATAGTCGAACCAAATAACAGTGGTTGTTCTGTTTATGGGGCACAACTTTATTGCAAAATTGGCATGACTTTACTTTTAGGAAATTACAACAGATTTTAAAGTTGTTTAAAGTGGCCTAGTTTGTGGGAAGCAATAAAAAGGAACAAAAGTGCACTGCAAAGAAAGTAGTCTTCCAGCTTGTAATGTTGACAAGAACTTGTTCCATAAAATGGGATTTTTTCCAAACTGAGTGCACATTTTGCATGTGATAATAAAAAAAATCCCATACGCACTTATGTTTAATGTAAAGTGTAAGCAAATCATCAGTACCTGTCAAGACCCACTCACTAAATTATGCAGTAAAACATGTACAAAAACTGTACAGCAGACAAATGTCCATTACACCCTGGTTATTTTATTTCCCACATCAGTCTATTTATTACAAAGGTTTATTACAAAGGTTGTAATAATTCATCAGATTAAATATGTTAATCACATTTCCACAGAACATGATTCCTACTTTCTGTAAATAGTGACTGAACATAACTGCTATAGACATAAAAAAAAAAACAGTACATCAAAGACATTGAAACATGAAAAAAGACATGACATGAAAAAAAAAACCCACAACAAAAGATATATTTATGTCACTTAGTAAGTGCTGATCAATCAGTTACATTTTCTAGGTGCATACTTTGTGCATTTAATGTTTGAGCCCACTGTTCCAGATCTGCCTTCAGTGTACTTGCTTCAGGTCGGTTTTCTGGGCTCTGACACAGCATTGACATGATTATCTGGTTCTGCAAAACACATTAAAAAAATCTGCTACTTTCTGTATCAACATGAATATATGTTATCAGTACAAATAATTAGCCAATTCATGCTGCTGCACGATTTTTAACTCATACAAGCAAACAAGAGCACATAACTCCAGTTTTAGAGTCCCTCATTGGCTTCCTGTTAAGTTTTAAATCCATTTTAAAATTCTTTGATTTGTCTTTAAGTCTCTTAATGGTCTTTCCCCTTCTTATTTGTCTGAGCTGCTTCACCCTTACATGCCATCACATGCTCTTAGATCAGCTAAACAGGTGCTTTTGACTGTCCCGAAGACATTTTCTAAATCTCGAGACAAAGCCTTTTTAGTTTTGGAACCTAAAATGTGGAATGAGCTGCCTCTGGAGGTCAGGCAGGCTCGCCGTTTATAAAACACTTTTAAAAACACTATTTTCTTGCTTTTAACCCAGTGTGAGTTGTCATCTGTCTTAAACTTCTTACCCTTTGTAAGTCAGTACATGTACCCTATGTACATGTACTGATTTATTCTTTTATTCTTGTTTTCCTATTTTATGTTATTTTTTTGTACAGCACTTTGGTCAGCTGTTATGTTGTTTTAAAGTGGTTTATAAATGTGATAGTGAAAAAAATAAGAATTATACCTCTTCTGGAAACTTCAGTGTAAATTCTTCAGGGAGAATTTGCTTTCTGACACCTGTAAAAATCTAGTATACATAATGATAAAAGGATACAAAAACATGTTATTTGACTTGATAGAAAATCATCACAAGAAAAACAAAAGCGACACTTAATGCAATTCTATACATTATATTATGCACACATTAACACTCATAGGAAGCTACCAGTAAACATTTTAAAATGTAAACTATTAAATTGTTATACTGACTCACCTTCCCTCTTTCATGCCCATAACACATTTTCCAAAGGAGTTCAAAGTATATCAGTCCCAGAGGAAATATGTCCACCTCGGAGCCATATCTCTTCTTGGTCCTCTGTCATAAAACAAAAACATTATGTGTTACACACCCCTTAACTCAGTGTGAGTGTTTAAATTATAAGCTATAGTTGTGGTAAGCTAATCTATGCAGATTTCACTTTTCTTCAATGTAATATAAGTCTAAAATTAAAAGTAGAAACCAGTATCATAGTGTATCATAAGTATCATAATTATATCATAAACAGAGATGGTTTTATCTGGAATGAAATAAGAGATTTACAGCAAATGAATGAGGTGGTGATAATGGAAAGAAAAAATGTTTTAAATTTGTAAACATCTTTTTAAAAAAACACTAAGAACAGGAGATTCTGTCATTTTAAAGAACATTTGCAGAACGTAATGAAACTTGAATAGATTCAGAAAATGTTGAGCACATAGCTATCATTGAATACTGTCAACAACAAAAAAAAATGCAGAAAAGAAATCAAAGGTTATTTGTTTACAGAGACCTCACCTGTTCGGGAGCCATATATGATTTGGTTCCTGTTTTCTCTGTTCTCTCACTCTGATTTTCATCATTATCATCAGTCTCAGTAGCAACTAGACCGAAATCTCCAATCTTCACTTTTCCATCTTTTCCAAACATGATGTTGGTAGGCTGACAATTAAAAGCAAAATTTAAACATTGAGCATTTAGTGCTCCGTGTAGTCAGAAATGAGTGAATAAGCTCAGGTGATTCTACGAGAAATCTCAGACGAGTTCTAATCTCAGTGACCTCAACCTCACTGTCAAGTTCAGAAATGGAGTTTTTTGATAAGTCAAGAAGGAAGTCACCTACAATTTTCAAATTCACACCATATGTGCATCTACTAGGAGGCTGAGGCACTTTATTCTCTAAGTCAACACTAATTATATTTTTCTTAATGTGGCCCTAATACTCAGTTGTTGCCTGCCTACTGGGTTTTATTTGTGAAGTAGAAGAAGCACACCAATACTTTAATAGCAGCAGTGTGCATCTCCATTAAACACACAAAAAAGGATACTGAAGAATATGGGAACAGAAAAACTTAAACTTAAATGTGAGCCAACTAAGCAACATAAGCTTGTGATCCTGTAATCTTGAGTCTCACCTTGAGGTCCCTGTGGATGAGTCTGTGGGAGTGAATGCACTCAACTCCACTGACTATTTGCTGCATAATGGGAAGACTTTCTGCTCTTCTTATAGACTCTTCAAGAGTTTTCTCATTCTTCTCAGTTATCCAGTCTTTAAGTGTTTTGTCGTCACATAACTCCATCATAATATAGAGGTACTTTTGTGATGAACTACTACTAGACCTAAAAAAAAAAGTAAGATTACAAATCTAAGCATCATGTCTTCATTTTAAGCATAGAAATGCATTAGAGCAAAGCTGCATAATACTAAATAACTGAACAAAACTTACTGGGAAGTACTGTCACTGTCAGTTGTATTGTCCCACTGGTATTCTGAATCCTCCAGCCAACATTTGTAGTATCTAACAATGTTAGAGTGGTTGAGGTCTGATAATGCCCCAACCTCTCTTAGAGCTTTTCTGATCAGAAGAAACACACAGAAATGCTTAAATAAGTAATACATACACAGTTTCTGTTATTAGAATATTACTTATGCAAAACATTTGTACTTTGAAAATATACGCTGCGCATATGACTTACTCTTCGTGGTGAACAATCTTTACAGCATAATATTTCTTCACCAGTTTATCTCTTGCTTTGAAAACATGACCATAGCCTCCTTTAGCAAGACATTCAATGGAATCAAAGTCTAAAGTAAACCTAGTGAGATAAACAACATTCATTAGATGAAGATGTGAAAAAAAAAAACTATTGGAAAAAAAAGAGGATGCAAAAATCTGACCACACAAGTATAAATGTCATGAATTATTTTTCATACTGTGATTGGCCTGATGTGTCACTTGGTCTGTTGTCTGTATTTTTGTTTTTGTTAGCGTCCTGGAAAAAAAAAACACATGAAAAGGACATAACATGGTTATTATTATCATTAGTATAAAACATGTCTGATGTCTGAACATATGAATTAACAAATACAATTACTTTTAATGGCTGTCTGGGCTTAGCTAAAAATAGAAAAAGAAAAAGGGGAAATACATGCTGTTTTAAGAAGTCAGATACACAATGTAATGTCCACCTTGTTGAAACAGAAGGTGTTTTTTTCAAGGTATAGAAAAATGTTGTCTTTATAGCGATTTCAGCTCTTCGTTTTTATTAAGGCTAGTTTACTTGATTTGAATCCATCATCCATCCCTTCTCTCTTTCACCCATAATCTGTCCAGTATGTTTTGGGTCTGCCCTTAAGAATCTACCCCTCCCCCTTAGACAGATACTCGAAAACCTCAGTTAGTTCATTTTTATGTACAGGAGGAGCTGCTCTACTCTGTGCAAACTTCTGAATGACTAAGCTATTTGCTCTATCTCTAGAGATAATCCCAGGTTTCTGTTTCTACAATCTTATATACCACCTATACTTTGTGACCTTAGCTGAGGGTAGAAATATGGACTGACAAGTAAATTTTCAGATTCAACTCTTTCTTCACCACAACACAACACTGTTGTATTCATATCACTGCGAATGTGGGAGAATCCACTAATTTCAATCAATTCCCCACATGTAAAGAAGATCCAGAGATACTTTTACTCCTGTACTTGCTGCTGTTGTGTAGTTCTTTCTCAGTTTGTTTGTCTAACAAATTTGCAGATGACACTGAACTACCCGTCTTTTTCTGTTTAACTACACTGTAATGTGGCAGAGCGTGCGTGGCACTTTGCAAATACATTTGGATTTTCTTCTAACTTTGTGCTTTGTCAACCTTGAACTTGGGCTTGCAAAGACAGACTTTCAGAGGCTGCACTACTGTCAATATATCGCATTAACAGCTTCTCTACCAGCAATCTGCTACCCAGGGGTAGCAAATATCCTGTGTAAACAGCCAAAGTGCCTGAGTCACAACTGAAGTCCATATTTTAAGCTATTGAAGCAAAAT